GAATCGGAAGCAGGCTCCAGGCTCTGAGCCATCAGTACAGAGCCCAATGTGGGACTCTAACTCACAAACCGCAAGATCATGCATGACCTGAGCCCAAGTCGGAGGCTCAACCGACTGAGCCACCCAGGCGCCCCGCTCCTTCCCTTTCTGAAGCCTGACACTGGGCCAGGACCTTTGGGCCTCCCAGATGAATAAAAGAGCCCCCTCCCAAGGATCTCACAGTCTGCAGCAGGGGAAATGAAGATGTCTGTAAACATCAATAATTCCAGCCTAAGGTGGAAAGCAAGAAATAGCCCTTGCAAGATAAAAATAGACAGAAGAGGAGGAGGAAGGGGAGGATAAGGCGGGGGGAGGAGAGATCTCAGTTGCCTTCAGGGCTCAGGCTGTTAAAGTCAATCAGAGGTGGAAAAAAAATCTAGAAATGCCTGCCCCACCTGCAGGGGGCAGCAGTGAGCCATACTCCGGGCAATTGCTTTTGTTCGGGAATGGTAGTAGGGCCGGGATCACCGGGCCTTCTGACTTCTTTCTGGAGAAGCGGGAAATCCGGATTTTGTTGCCATCTTTGCCGATTTTTAAAAACAGAGCGCAAGCCAAACAAAAGGGCAACCAGTTTGCAACCCTGCAACTGAGCTTTGCAAGAAGCTTTGAGCTTTGCAAGAAGAAATCAACTCCTTCCCAGGGAAGGCTTCACGGTTGGTGGGGGAGCCTGACCTTGAGGACGTGGTAAGAGTGATGTGTGACGTGTCAGGACAGGTTTAACGGGGACCCTAGAGGGAATCCATTTCATTTCTCAGATCATTAAGCCGAGGCCCAAGGGACTGGTTCCTTTGGGCTGCCAGTTAACAGGGAATGGGACAAGGGGCAAGAGTTCTGAGGGGTAGGTTGAGGACAAGCTGCAGAGAGCCTTGAATGCCAGGCTAAGGAATCTGGCTCCAAATAAGCGTGGATGCCCCAGAGCTAACACTTCGGGGCGCTCACTGGGTGCCAGGCTGCAGACACCCCCTCCCGGGATCTTCGCGGGGCAACGACTGTCTTGCCCCATTCTGCAGACGAGAAAACTGAAGCCTGAGAACGTGGAAGACCCGTGCCAGGCTCCCATGGCCAGAAAATGGCAGAGGGGCTCCTCACACGTAGGCCTCGCCGCCCCCAAGGCGTGCGCGCCCGACCCCCGGGTTCCACCGCGGGCGAAACGGAGAGCCAACGGATTTTCAAAAAGACCTTCCGCCGCCTACCCGTATTTTTTAAAGCCTCTAACCCATTTACTCCCAGGGCCCTGTTTTGTTTTATTGACTTGAAGATTAGGTTTCCACGTTTCTGGAGGACTCTCTCCCCGCCCCTTTTTAAACACAGCTGTCTTTGAGGGTGGGGAGGAGGAGTGTTTTAAACAGGAGTTGTTTAACTAATTGCCAATTATCTCTGAATAGGGTATGGTTTCCAACAGCTGTAAGGGATTTTGGTCCCCATCCATTGCCTACCGTTGCTGTACTTGGAGTGTGTTGAGATATTGTTGGCCTCTGGCTTCAAAGAGGCGAACCAGTGCCTCACCGCACCCCCCCCCTCCACTCCGCCCGCCTCCCCCATTCCTGCAGACTGTCTCAGCCCCGGTTTGTACCGGCTGGCTGGCTTGGGAGGCCCTGACTGCTCCCGACTGTACGAACATGTGCAGAGATTTCTCTCTCTCCTTCTCCTCCTGAGTGTGAGTGGCTTGGTACCTGTCGGGGCACAATTCTCCCCCAGGACTCAGGGCCTGGGCTGTCATTTTTTTTTCAGTCTGTGTTAGCGTTTCCCTGAATGCCAAGG